CTAGTATATTTCGATCGGTTCACCATGATGGGCAAGCCCGATCACCACGTCAAATAGCGACAACGGTCGGGAAAAATGAAAGCTATGACGACGACAGAGACTGATCTTACAGGGGGCTTCAGTCAATCATAGGAAAGGACCTCACCATCCTGATAGAAGATCTAAGCGCCAAAGTCGGAATGATCAACACCGGGTATGAAGAAGTAGTGGCACACAATCCTTAAATCTGAACACAAGACTACTCGGAAAATAGATATTCAGTATTTAACGCGGAGAAATAGCTAACGATGGAGAAGGCGGGAAGAAGTATTGAATGAATTGGAATTGATCGTAAGGCATGGCTCGGCCATGCAGGCGTAGTCCCTCTTCCATTCATATTAAATATATTGTTCCTTCTCTAGCCTAACCTTGTTCTACATCATGTATTGGTAATTGATACGATACAGTGAGTTGGTGTAGTCGATGGTGTGACTTCCACGTAAGATCTTATAGATTAGGCAGTTATATCATGACAAATCTACAATTTTAGGATTAGGTCTATTATTGGAGCAGTACTAATATTATAGTAGACCATAATTCTACAAAGATATCATGGGACGATATAGAATAAAAGGAAAGAGAGTAACAAGAGATTTGAAGATTTTCGTTCATTCAACAAAACGATTATAGACGGCACAATATTCCCACACAAACTCATACATAAAACTACGTGGGTATCACCGGATCACATCAAGGAGAACCAAATCGATCAGATTTGCACCACTAAATAATTCAAGTCAACGGAACACGTGAGAACCAGAGTAGGAGCTGACATAGCTTTAGATAACCACCAACTGGTGGTTGCCAAGATGAAACTGAAGCGAAATAAGCACTAGAAAACTAGACAAACAGCATTCAATACAGACTTCCTTCCAGATACTGATAAACTCAATCAACTTAAGATAACTCTCAACAACAGATACCAAGCATTATAAGATCTACTCAAAGAAGAAGAGGAAACTACTATGGTGGACAATTGGAAAGGGATCAAAGAAGCATTAACTCCAACGTGTCAGGAGGTTCTGGGCAGCGAGAAGCATCATCATAAGGAATGGATCTCTATCAAAACCCTGAACAAGATTCAAGAAAGGAAGAATAAGAAGACAACAATTTACAACAGCCGAACACGAACAGAGAAAGTATAATATTTTGAACAATTTGAATTGTATTATGAACTAGGAATCCCAGAATTAACGCAATTTAATTAAGAAGTGAGACACAAGCACAAACGAATGTATTGTATTCGGAATTCGAAATCGAGCATTCAACAAGTACAAAGGTATTATTAGTTCTTTCAAACACCACAGAAAGTCAAGGCATAAACTGAATACACTGAAGCAAACAAACAAATGAAGATCATTATAGCCGACAAACAGAAATGCGTGAAAGATCTAGCAACGACAATGGAGAAAGGTGCAACAGAAGCAAATATCAAACAGCTATGTGACACAACGAAGAAACTGGTAAGGAAATATAGTAAACCAGAGAGAACAGTCAACGACAAAGAAGGCAGGCCAATCATCGAGATTCATAAACAGAAGAACAGATGGGTGGAACACTTTGAGGAACTCCTGAATAGACCAACTACACTAAACCCACCGCACATCGAAGCTGCACACACAGACCTTCCTATAGATATCACCGCACCAACAATCGAATAAATCAGGATGAACATCAGATAAATCAAGGGCGGGAAAGCAGAGGGACCTGACAATAAACCAACCAAAGCACTAAAATCATACATATCAGTAAAAGCAAACAAACAAGATTTAAACTTCGCAGATAACCCGTCTCTTCTTTCCTATACACACGAACAAATGCAGATGAAGACAACTAGTGTGGAAGCGGCCTCTGCATCAAGAAGCTTCAGTATACACAAAGGAAAAGGTAAGATTCTGAAATACAACACGTAGAACACTGACCTAATGGCAAAACTCTGGAAGAGGTAAAAAATTTCACGTACCTGGAAAGCATCATCGATGAACAGGGAGAATATGATGCAAATGTAAATGTAATGATTGACAAAATAAGGACAGAATTCATACAGTTGAACAGCATATGGAACTCAAAACCAATATCAAATTGGGAATCTTCAATACGAACGTCAAGGTAGTTCTACGGTACGAAGCTGGCGCAACCTTCATCAGAAATGTACGGATATTTATAAGCGATTGTCTACTCAAGATACTCAGTGTCCGTTGGTTGGATACCATCAGTAACAGCCTACTGTGGGAAAGAACAAACTAGGTTCCAGTTGATGAGGAAATTAGGGAAATTCACTGGAGGTGGATGGAGCATACATTATGGAAACCATCAAACTGCATCACACAGTAAGTGCTAACTTGGAATCCTGAAGGAAAACGAAAAAGAGGAAGACCAAAGAACACATTCAGTCGGGAATTCGAGCCAGACATGAGAAGGATGAATAGTGATTAGAAACAACTGAAAGGGATTTCTCAGGGCAGAGTTGGATGGTGAATGTTAATGGGCGGCCCATGAGCCGCTACGATGGGTAACAGGCGTAAGTTGCCAGAATTAATTGGGCACTTTTATCCCTTAACGTATTAGGGCCGTTTCACACGATGGCCGGAAGCATTAGCCATCAATGATATTATTGTCGAAACTTTTACCCTCGCCTTCGTCGAACGATGGGTTGAAAACTTCGGCTGCCTCTGAGCTGTCACTGGAGACTGTGGACGCCAGTTTCAATCTGAACGTTTCCGTTGTCTTACCGCACCACTAGGAGTCATGTGATTCCGAGAGACTGCCTACAACACACAAGCTAACGAGTTGGCAGAACGATTTTACCGACAGTAAGAGGCTTTTCATAGTGGACTGACTCCCTTCCACTGATGTAACGTGATCTTTGCTATGCTATAAAAGCAAACACTACGGCTGAACTCGCTTGTTGCACGACACTCCAACTTTCAGAGAATTTGTGGATCCTTCATCTTATTCAATGACTATGGTGTTACGTCCAAGTTTTGCTCGTCCCGTGATTGAAGTACGGTATATCGATCTATTTGCGATTTACGAACCTAAATTAACAATAAAACCAAACTCCAATTTGGGTAACGAAGTTTATTCGCAATTTACAAATAGTCCACCCACATGTCGTTCTAACAATAATTATAAAAATTATAGAAACAAACCTTTAATTTTGTAGGTTCCCGGAGCAAACGTTCCCAAGTACTAAACCAAAGACAAACCAAAATATCCGAAAATAACGGTATAAACAAACAAGTTCAGAAGTCGAGTAAAACAAATACATCCAGGAACACAGTGAAATTAAGAATATTTAACATAAATGTTTTAATCAGTCAAATATCTTCAGTTCTCCCGTAACACTATGGGTCTAGATTCTCACGCAAACAGGCTTACAAACTCCACGAGTTCAGTGAAACCTGATATAAATCGACTTACATCATCTGGTGTTTTCATTCAACCTGCTTCCCGATACAGTATACTCGTTTTTGTACGTCGTATTTCATTACGACGACCCCTCGAAAGGGCATACGAAGAAACCTTCAGAGTCCTTCGTCGCAAACGTAAGTGCTATATAATCAATAAAACGAAAACAACAATAACGTAAGCATTGACTACCTTAAAGCCGCGTTCTCAGGAGGGAACCTCAATAATGCTTTTAATCGTATATAATCAAATAACATGAACCTCACAATTACTATGCCTTCCCTAATAACCAACAATCATGACCAAACTTCATCGCTATCCGTAAACCGGCTCACAACAGCGTGCTCTGGGAGAGGGGGGAAGTTTCTGGAATACTTAAACCATTACTGAAGGTGGGATACGGAATGACATTTTGTTTTATCTCGTTTGTTCTTATTGATATAACAATAAAACAAACATTGTTTCTTTATTCACACGTTTTGTATCCTTATTCATGAATGAGTTCATTTCAACATGCATCTAATTTTCTTCTTCCTGAGGAAAGTTGGAAAAGATGGAAAACCGACGAAGAATACGATGAATAGAACTTTTCATTGTACGTTTCTCATTTCTGTTTTGAACCACATTGAGAAAAGACGAACAGATGCTGCTAAACATAGCGAGCTATCAGAAAAGTGTTTAACAACGGCAAGTTCGTTGGATTTAAACTTTTGACTGGCTACAACTTACGGTCATCACTACTCCACTAAGGGCGGCGTGGGCTGTAGTGGTGAATAAATTACCAGAGTAAATAGTTCTGTTAGTCTTCGACATTGATGCTGACTTCATTAGTTTTTCTGGACAAACCTTTGCTGCAGGTGTTCGGTCACCCATCCGCACCAGATCACGAGTGGGTACCTCGTGCTACACATCCATTGCAACTGTTAGTCAGCTTAGACCAAGCGCTCCTCGATATATAGACATCTTGTCAAATAGATGTTTGAACCCCTCTTTTTCTGACTCCTAATTTAACTGGGTAGGTATCCTTCGATTACAAAGATGTTGTGTGTTAATTGATTGTCTAACTCTGAATACCTGTGGCATCTTCATGTAAGACTGAGATGAAATATTAGGCAGAGGGTGACAACAAGCCGTCAAAACTAAAAGTTTGAAAAAGGTGACTTGACTCTGTGTAAGTTTTCATGGAGGATATTTACGCCACTTGCCACAGATACACACTAATAACTCCTAGTGCTTCAAGTTACGAAATTTCGCTAGAAGTATAAGAAACAGTGTCAAATATGACCTTAAGACAAAGTGCAAAGTCTGCCAAAAATTCACCGATTTTCTTTACATTGCAATGTTGGTTGAAGATCATACTTAACTGTTTAAGCCAACAATATACTGATGACTGATTTAAGCTGACTTCTTCATAAGACATAACAATATCAACTGTTTAGATAATCTCCAGACTATAGGACATAAGTCTTCGGTTAAAGTCACTCCATAATCAACATAACCTGTTTCGAACTTATTTTTGGTTTAAACCAACGTGCGTGTTGTTTAAATTCATACTTTCCTCAGTAGTTAGGCTGGGTTGAATTCCTTGGGGTTGTTTGGATACCTTGTTATTATGAGCAAAATTCCCAGAAAAGGTGAGGGTTTAAGAGATCATGTGAAGTGTTTTTATGTATAAATATATTTTTAAGACTTCGTGTACATGTACTCACATTCTACCTGATCTTTCTTTTAGTCGTCGCCCTACAGAGCAAGAAGAAAAACAAACAAATTAAGAAAAATGCCCCGAAAGACAAATCTATTGGAAACAAATGGTAAGTTTTGTCCCTGTTTTTACGATTTTACTGGGTGGTTTTACTATCGGCATTTTGGAACGTCGTGGAACTACGATAACATGTCCTGAATAAAGAAATCGCATTTTGTTAATAATACAAGATACATAGTATCAGATGACTTATTCTACTGTGTTTAATGCATTTTCTTTTGTAGTAACGGTGCCGTAGAAGACCGACTTCAACCACAGGACGACTCCACGCCAAAAAATGAACAGGAGCCAACATATTGTGAGTACTCACGAGATGAGGAAGTTTTAGAGGAGGAAGAAATTCTCGGCAGTGATGATGATGAGCAAGAAGACCCTCGGGATTACTGTATAGGTTGGTACTCTGTTTAATTAAGTTAATACAGTCTAGGTGGATATCACCCAGTTAAGATCGGGCAGGTATACAATTCTCGTTACCACGTCGTCCGTAAGCTTGGTTGGGGTCACTTTTCCACTGTGTGGTTATGCTGGGATTTATGGTTAGCTCAATATTACATTGTACTAACATCTATAGTTCAAAGCGTTTCGTTGCAATGAAAGTAGTCAAGAGTGCTCCGCACTACACAGAAACAGCTCTTGATGAAATAAAGCTGCTATCATGCGTAAGTTTACAGTAAAAAGATAATTTGGTTAGGTCCGCGAATCTGCCCCAGATGACCCGTTCCGGAAAAAAACAGTTCAGTTGCTAGATGATTTCAGAGTGTCTGGTGTAAATGGGAACCGTATCCTTTTATCTTATTGCTTATTTACTCGTACACATCGGGTTTCCTAATAACGGCATACATTTTCACCATCTTTATTATGTGTAGGAAGACACCCTAACCATACACAGTCATACCCTTAGATGTTGAAACTGGGTCCATCCAGTGACTCGTTACAATCTGCCAATGTATGGGATGCTGTACGTAAAATCACCATGGTACCAATCAGCAGTAAGGTCTTGGCAGTTTTTGAGAATATCTGGCTTATCGCATACCTTCTGCAATATGTGCCTCCATCTCGCGTTGGCAAACCACTTGCCATAAGATCTCCATTCATTTTGCCAATTATATAAATCTTATGCACAGATTTCACAATGAAGCGCACTGATAAGTTCCAACACTTCACAATCCTGGGTTCTCAGTAGTCCATGCATTTGGTTTGTATTTTAATTGCCACTTGTCGATAGGAAGTTAAATTCAAGCTACTTTGTATCAGCATATAGGAATTATCGTGTGAGAATTATTTCTAAGTACATGCTAACAACCATTATGCTTAAGCTCTTATGTTTTGTTTTTCTTACATGAGGTCTTCATGCTATGGATTTCTTAACCATTACTTAGATGTTTGTATGATCTTTGAGGTTCTTGGCCATAATTTGTTGAAGCTAATAATCAGGTCTCAGTACCGAGGCATTCCACTCGAAAATGTTCGTTCTATTATTAAACAAGTAAGTATAGATTATCTTATTTCCCCCTGATGTTCGTGGCTTCTGGGTTGCCGTCTGTGTCGTTTTCACGGTTTTGTTTTTAATGTGTTTTTCTATTATTGATGCTCAAGCGAAATTAGCTCAGGCTATGCCGTTATATATATAAGTAACTAGTCAATACACGCACTTCGTTTCAAGCATCCCAGAAAGTTACACAACCGGTTAACTGAATTGTCAGTATAGCAAGTATTATTTTGCAAATGACGTTCTTGGAAATTCACAGATTTCATTAAGAAATATTAACCATGGTAATGCTGGAGCAACGTAATGGCTGTATTAAATAACTGATTAGAAAGATGCGTGAATTAACTGCTGGTTACTTGAACCATGAGACTTATTTATTTGAGAAGTCAGAGTACTTCGGCACGTTTGATAAGCTAAGCGTATAATCATCAAGAGACTAAATCTGAGTGATATTCGGAATTTTCCTCATAGATAATCCTTGATAGAAAGTAGACATTTGTTGTTTTCAGCGTTCATTTTTTGAGGACCAGGTGTACTGAAACTGGTTTTAATAAGTCTCAGTATTTTGTAAAACAATTGTATCATTGATACAGGACGTGAAATAAACCCTACTCGCAGCATCAGTAAAACGCCACTAAGCGTAAGCTTACGAAGCGTTTGTGCTTCCCTGTAGCTTGTAACAATCACTAAGTTTATGATCCTAAGTTAGGAGATTGCAGAAACTCAGTCCTCACTCCCGAAGTATCAATACCATGTAAGCTGTACTGAGCGAGTCAAGCAGTTCGTCATGTGAATTTTCATCTTTCATTAATGTATGCAGTTATATGATAATTGCTCTCAAAAGGCAGTATTAGGTGAGGTTTAGGAACATTTGTGGAACTTTTGTTTATTCATCTGAACACAAATATTGGTACAAATAAAAATAAATATGCGCCACACAAATAAATGGAATTATGAAGTGAGAGTGAATATGATCGTGAAACAAATGAGTAAAAATAAGCAAACGAGGATGTATCATAGGGAAACAGTTCACTTAGGAAAAATACAATACAAAGTCCTAGTTATAGCAAGGCCGCCACTTGCTCCTGTCCTAAGCTGTCTGATAATCTCAAGTCACTAAGTTGCATTGTCTATCGGACCCTAACACCATATCATACAGTGAACAACCCAGCTTTTTCCAACCATTTTTGATATTGGCAAATAAAGCACGGTATTTTATGTTTAGTCATGATGTGTCCCGACCGTTGTTGCTACCTTAAAGTGGTGGTCGGGCTTGCCTATCGTGATGAAGCAACCGAGCTATACTGACTGGAACAACTGTTCCTCAAGGTCCTACCACGTCAGAAAGACTAAAAGCAACAAACACAAGGTCCGAAGGCGAAGTCGTACTGCTGACTGTACAGAGGTTTGACGGCATTATGGTGTTTCTTTCAGCCAACCAGCATGACAGCGATGCTGCCTTCCCACAAGGAGGGGTGGGGTTAGAAAAGGTCGACCCTAAAAACACACCCACGAATATCTGTCTCCGGCGGTAGGGTCTCAACATGTACGAAGCTAACACAAAAACTACTCACTAAAAAGGTTTGTTGTGACCTACCTCAAACAGTTGTCATTTGGCCACTGCAGTCATGCTCCCAGGTCACTAAGACTACCTCTAAACCAATTTCCTTTTCAGGTACCTCCAGAAAAACCCTTCCATGGTGTGGGCAACAGGGAAGTGATAACCGCCCTCATACCTCTAACAGCACTCAAGACCGCTGTATTCATGATCAACCTCCCTCTTCTATTCCTGTTATTCCTCCTACATCAACTTAAAACTCTAAACTTCTTTTTTCGGCTTCCCCCTCAAGTGTCACTATAGCCAACGATTCTAGTGCTCAAAACACTCTCAGGTCTACTGAAACCTCGCTCCACACTACACATTGGAGCCTTCAATGTACACACCCTATGTCAAATCGGTCAGCAGGCTTCCTTGGCTAAAACCCTAGAATCTCGTACCATTGATGTATGCTGTGTTTCCGAAACACGCATACAGGATCCCAGTGTGGTCATTCACTTGACCTCACCTCGGCAAAACGGAGAGCCAACGAGATACACCCTACGTGTATCTGGTGACGCGATTGCCAGCTTTCGTGGACTGGCAGGAGTAGGGATAGCCCTAAGCATGAGGGCGGAACAAACACTGTTAGAGTGGATCCCCGTCAACAGTCGTCTATGAGCTGTTCGGCTAAACAGCTCCGTAAAAACACGGAAGGATAGGGACACACGTCGTTGCCTTTTTGTCGTTTTTGCCTACTCTCCCGCCGACTGCAGCTCAAATGAAATGAAAGATGAATTTTACAGAAAGCTATCTGAACTTCTTCAGAAAGCTAAACGTTCGGACATAGTACTCGTAGCAGGTGACTTTAATGCCCAGATAGGTAGTTTAAACCAAACAGAAAAGCATTTAGGTGGATGTTTTAGTATTCCGGCACAACGAACCGATAATGATGATCGCCTGCTGCAACTGTGCTCAGACAATCGTTTATTTTTAGCAAACACAAATTTTAAGCATAAGGAAAGACATCGTCTAACATGGCGACCCCCTACACCAAACCAACGATGGACTCAAATAGAGCATATTGCCATCAGTCATCGTTGGAGAGGGTCGGTAGAAGATTGTCGCTCATTCTGGAGTACCTGCTTGGACTCCGTTCGCGCCCTAATACAGGCATGCATCTGCTTGCGCCTCAATGGACGCGAAAAGGCCACATTAAAAAGACCAATTAAAACTGAGTTGAGTAACGAGAAAAATAAAAGTAGATTCCATGAACAACTGAGGTCACATTTACGTAGTTCTGTTGCTTGGAAAGATATACAAACAGCTGCGGAAACAGCAGTGACATCTATTAGTGATTTAAACCAAATAGTTACAAAGAATCAATGGATTTCTTTCAAGTGTAGTGCACTGATGGATTCTTGTAAACTCATCCAATCGGGCTCTGAACAAGATAAAGAGTGAAAACAAATCAGATCTAGGTTAAGCAAAAGTCTAAGAAACGATCGTGAGCAGTGGTGGGCAACGAAAGCAAAAGAGATGGAAAAGGCGGCAACTGTACATAACACCAGATAGCTTTTCAGACTAATGAAAGAAACTGGAATTGAGGGGTCAAGTGTAAGTGAGACGATCTCCAAAAAAGACGACACTTATCTGTTCCTAGTCTAAATGTTTATAACGATGTGCGGAACACTTTAAAGGGCAGTTCAGCTGGCTTTCATCTACTCTACAACTACCCACCATTCCCAGACAGAGTGAGTGGAACATTGAAGTAGGTCCCACGAATCTAGCTGAAGTTCAAAAGGTTTTAGTTAATCCGAAATCAATGAGGGCAGCTGGTCCAGATGAATTGGCTCCAGAGGTCTTTAAGGATGGTGGTCCAATTTTAGCGATTAGGTTGACTAATATTTTAGCTAAGATCTGGGAGTTAGACGTTATTCCATCTGACTGGTCGCTATCACTTATCGTCCCAATATATAAGAGAAGGTCAAAATAATCTTGTGACAACCACAGAGGGATTAGTTTAACTAATATAGTATCTAAAATACTAGCCTCGATAATTATCAAACTCCTAACTAAGACTCGTTAACTGCAAACACAAGAGAACCGAGCTGGCTTCAGACCTGGTCGTGGCTGCATCGACCACATATTAACCATTCGTGAGGTTTTAGAACACAGGCATACTTATCGACGTCCGACAATGGTGGTCTTTCTTGACTTAAAAGCAACATTTGACTCAGTAGTAATAGTGAGGTTGGACTTAGGGTATTAGGTAATGATGGTAAATCAGTTGGTGAGGTTGTTAATCTTCATCGACTGAGATGGTTGGGCCACGTGTTACGTATGACTGAACACCGATTACCACGTCGTGCAATGCTAACCGGTGTTAGAGATGGTTGGAAGAGAATTAGGGGCGGCCAAACCAAAACGTGGCATCAGTGCTTGAAGACACTAACCTCTAGTCTGAGCCATGTTGGTAGATGCAGACTACTTGGTTGGGGTCCGCGTGACTATCGTAACGATGGTTGGAGACTCTTGGTGACATGGCTCAGAATCGATCACAATGGCGTCGGTGTATACACTCCCTGTCTTCCCTTAAACTAAGAGATTAAAATCACTTCATATCTTTCTTTCTACGAACTAATTCTTTCTTCCTGTACTGTATCCTTATATGCAATCTTTCTCCTATATATTACCACCTTTGACCTAACCACTCCTATGAATCCGATGTTCATCTAGCTGTGCTAATGAGGTATGGCAATCTGGACCGATGCATATATGTGCCTGGTCCTACGTTGTAGCAGACTGACATGATGTGTAAAGTCACTAAAGCCTAATCATCGTGGGATTCTCAGTGTCGTCGTTATCTAAACTGTTAGCCCATTAAAACGTATTATTCTTTTATGGTCGAAAAAATATATATTGTTTTAGGCCTTTAATAATAAAGTAACTAATACTTTGTTTAATAAATGATTATCTTGTCTTTAGACCCTTCAAGGACTTCATTACTTGCACACAAAGTGTCACATTATTCATACAGATATCAAACCGGAAAACATTTTAGTTTGTATTTCTGATTCTCAAATCCGTAGAATGGCAGCGGAGGCCCTCGATGCTCAAAGACGAGGTGTACAGTTGTCAGGTTCCGCAGGTGAGATTTGCTAGTAACAATTTATTAATTCATTAGAAAATGGAGCTTAACTGTATATATGTACGGAATAATCTAGCGAGTCAATTTATCATATTCAGTAGTATCCTAAATCTTCTGGTGGATTAAACTACAGCTCTTAACGGGGTTGTAATACTGCGATTCATAAGTTTCAATACCTAACTTTTCATTATCGGTAACACGTCTAGTTCATGTTTTAATTATGTATATTCAAATACGCGATTGATATAATCGTTTCAAAGCCATATACACAAGCCTGTATTTAATTACTAGACCGTAACATATTAAAAATGGAGAGAATTGAATCTTAAGATAAGTCATTTTGTAGTATACACTAACTACCAAATGTTTCATAAAGATATTCTAGTTTTTCATGATTCGCATAATTAAGTTTTATTTTCTCACAGATTCACTAGATTGTGATAGCATTAATTATTAAACATTTTGTTTAAGCCGTTATTGTTTGTTGCTTATAATCACTAACAATGAATCCATTAACGTAGATATTGTGTATGTTTAACAATCATTAACTCACACAATACTCATCCGTCCCCAATCTACTAACCATAACTCCGGGATGGTCGCTTGTATTTTATATTACTGAAACCTCAAAAGTCACGTGATTGTATTGTGCTGATGCGGTATGGCAACCTGGACCGATGCACATATGTGTCTGGTCCTACGTTGTAGCTGACTGACGTGATTGTATACGTAAAGTATGAGACCATAAGTCACCATAACCAATAGATTTCAATATACATATAACTGAAGTATGTTTAGCATAAATCTAAGTAACTGCTTTATAGTTAATTCACCAATTTATGAATGATACGTGATGTAATAGTTGGTGAGCCAAATAGTTTAAAATTAGGATTTTATACAAACACCGTAAACCATTTATTTAGTAAATGTCATTGAAATGTAGACTAAGTCCTCAGTGAATAACTCAGTTTTATGATTCAGAGTTGATAACAGTAGTGCAAGTGCATTCATTATTTATCGTTCCTTGAATTCATCTCCGAGTAGCATCATCCATTGTCTTGTCTTTCTCATTGTCATTATATTGACTTTTCCTTTTGTTAACTTGGTCTCGTGGTGTCAACTTGGTATTGCATCTAACTCATACTTGTACTAGGCTCCATGGATGATATGGTTATCCTCACAACCCTAAAGTACTGTTTGCTAACTATTCCTCAAATGAACTTATACAGTGTTCACACTTTATTGAAAACCGGTCACTTAAGTAGATCTTAGGGGTGATTTTATCCAGGGTTCTCAAGTTTGTGTTCACTTACTGATTTTCTCTGTGGCACTGTAAAACTTGCGTTGTAATTTTAATTCATTATAGCGTAAACTTTCAAGTCACGAGTTAATTTCGTTTTATCTATACTCTTGCTGTCCTAACTTATGACTATTCTAATCGTTCCAAAAGTTTGCGCATTTCGCTGAATATTTAAATACTGACATAATGAGTAACTCATTTATTGACACCTACAACTGTTCAAGCTGTTCGATCATCGTTGTCTCCGAAGGGTTGCTGACATCCAGTGGCAACACCATGTTAGTAATGCAGAGGTTCGGCATCGTGTGTTCGGGCACAGGCGATAATGCAATTGGTGTCACTATCTTGAAACACCGACTTCGGTGGCTTGGGCATGTTCTACGAATGTCGTCCCAGAGAATTCCACGTCGTGCATTATTCGCCGACTCTGGGATTGGTTGGGAGAAGCGAAGAGGTGGTCAGTCTATGACATCGTGTCGTGGCATGAAAGAAAGCTGCAAAGGACTGGCTTCTATTGGTCCTTCACGACTCCGTGGTTGGGGTTTGAGAGATGGTGCGACACAGTGGCTAGAAACGTTATCAGATATGGCTCAGAATAGAAGCCAGTGGCGATCCTGCTGTAACGTTCTTTTACTTTCTTCATAAAAAGTGGTTGTGCCTCCCTTACCTGAAAGATTTCTTCTGATTGCACCTTTTCTTTTCCCCAATTATTATTATTGTTATTATTATTATTATTATTATTATTATTATTATTATTATTATTATTATTATTATTATTATTATTGTTACACTAATCTGTACGTTATTGTTCTTTTTCTTTTTTTACGTTCCCTACCTTTTTCCCTACTCTTCAAATCCTCATTGTTTTGTGTGGTGCATATGTATTTGGTGCCCTCTTGTACCAATATTTATGTGTTCAAATAAATAAATAAATAATTTTTTAGTTACTTCGGACTTATTCATTGGTAAGTCACTGCTAAACATCAGCAAAATCTATGTAGGGTTTTGCACATCTTTTTTAGTCTGCTACCCAAGTTTCTCAATTATAATGTGGAGCAATTAGGTGGTTAAGACATCCAAGTTTCCGCACTAGATCTCAGGTTCGAACCTTCTCTGTTCACTTCAGTCTGGGCACCCGAATAGTATCATTATTCATCACAGATAAAGTGTAACAAGTCGAGTACATGAATCTACTTAATAAATTAAACAAATCCATGAATCTCTAATTGATTGATGATTGAGTTATAACCAATGCCATGTACGTCAATTTTTTTAGTGCTGATCGAATTATATTAATCAAGTTCATAAATTTTATAGATAGGATAATAAATACCCTTAGTAGGTTTTAACATATGCTCTTCAAATACTATTAGACTCCTATCCATTTTCTTATACAGTGAGCACTGCACCCAAAGAAAAACAAGATAACACGAAGATGACAAAAAGTCGTAAGCGCCGTCTAAAAAAGCAACAACGAAAACAACAAGCACTTTTAGAACAGGAACTTGATGAATTAGAGGAATTGGAATCACAGGAGCATGAACGTCGTTTGTTGGATATGGGACTGATTCCTGCTGTCAATGAACAGAACCATGAAAAGCCAGAACAAGTAGATGAAAAGCCTAAAAGGGACTCAGAAGTATCCCCAGAACAGTCATACTCGAATGAGGCTAATACTACTCCCCCAACAGCAGACTCATACAATGCCAGTCCAAGCAAAGATTGTCATCCTACTACAAATAACACTGGTAAGTTACTGTTTTATTCATTCTATCTGTAAAAGACAACTAAGTTTCAGTCGTTTCATAATTGTCGAAGAAATTACTTACGGCTAGATTTTAGATTTGTAAAGACTTCATGATAGTGACTTGCTCTATGGCCGTCTTAATAGATTCTTAGTGTATCATTTTAAGCTTTCAGTTGGTTCCTCCTATGTATGGTGTAAATCAGGTGTTACGTAGTAGACCAGTTTGAAAGCTAATATACATGTGTTTAATAACCATAAATTCATTTTTTAAATAATTGAAGATTAAGGGTCTCTTGTGTAACTGCTGAGATCAATGTCTCCACCAGTAAAAACAGTGAAAATAACAATAGGTGGACCAAACTGAAGTAAGACTAATGTCCTGGTTTTTAAATCGATAGATACCATCAAATTTAATTTTGGAAACAACTGGCCATTGAAGTGAGCACTGATGGAAGAAACTTTTATTTGCGACTACTTCATTTTAATTACTAATTGCTGTTGGCAAGTTAACTCATTTGTTTGTTTTATTTTTCACTCAATTTCCTGATGTAAAGCTTAACAACCTATACCTAACACAATGTTCCTTTACACCAATGTACTGTTTAAGTCGGGTTCGTTTTAGATTTTAGTACTGTGTTGTTCTAAAGTAGAACCCAAGTATTAGTCATCGGAAATTTCACGAAGTTTAGTCCGGATTCATCTATTTATCTTCAAGTCTAGGATCGGTTCTAACTACTGATCGACTGTTTACTTTTAGCTTTATGACAACGACAAAATTCATATTTAAGAGCTAATTGTTAGCCATCACAGGTTAATTAATTAATCTGACAGTAAACGATCTCATTGATGTCTTATTTGTTTGTCTGTATATAATTTTTTCAATGAAAAGTAATGTTTGAAATGTCTACGTTAAAACTATTGTGTTCATTGGTTTTTGTATATTTTGTGATGTATCAGTCATCATATAGATTGTTAATAATCTATCCCAACTTTTGAGTCATCTTAAAATTGTTTAAACTGCTGGTATCATAAATTTACTTTCAATTTTTCGGAGGCTGTCACGTTAAAAATAAGTTGAATAATTAAATTTATATCTCCTGACAAGTGGCTCTTCTCACAAATCAGTTCTATGAGTTAACTGTCCAGTTTTTCCTTGCCTCGACGATATCTAACAGTTAGTAATGCTGTAATATCTAAGTCCCAATATTCGTTCTGTCCTATCCAGCTGAAGTATTATTTTGCAATCAAACTTAATGGTTTGCATATCCAACCGAATCCAGCAATATAATCCGGTCTAAGAACAGCCATCGTGGTTCACCTTACACCAATGATCTCTGATATTTCGTTAACTGGTTTAGACCATTCATCTAAACTTTTTGACGATTTCGCCTCATCAGTAGTTTGAGCAGTTCAACTTCGAAAATTCTTGTTATCTATTGTTAGTTTGGATGTGTAATCATTTTTCCAACTGTTTTACCGTTATTGGTGGTTTTTGTTATTTCTTTAATCGACAATTTAGTGTACATGCATTACGTGCAAATAATTTATTCTTTATGATGCCCACCTATTGCCCATTTTACTGGATCAACTGTTCTTAAAACGTGTTCGCAAGGCTTGTTACTGTGAACACTCATACTACAGGAATCAAAAATACGTTCATTTTCATAAAGTAGCTGGCACTCATATGGTGCTGAAATATGCAACGCGAGGTAAAAAAAATTAGTTTTCGACCTCCTTTAGTTCCACATAAACCAACGAAATCACGTAAACTCAAGTCCCATGACAGAACTAACATTCCCAAAATCAAGTGTTCAAACAAGATCGAAATTCTTATTATCAGCCTTTTTCAAAATAACATTCGAATCGCTTCACGCCTCGTCTTATTTCAGTTATAGAAAAACTCAAAAATCCCATTAAAAGGAACTAGTAATAAAAAGGTTCAACAGGTATATTAAGGCATATTTAATAAGAACATTTTCTCTATCACCGAAACTTCTTGTCAATAACTCAGATTGCTTAACCCTTGATCAAACCACTTACTAAGACTCCATCATCATGTCTACAATGCAGCCGCCTAGCATACAAGTAAAATACAGACCACCTAGTCATCTGGTTAAGTGGATATTTAATTACGGAATATAAATCCCCGGTAATTGATTGGATAGTAATATTCAAATTTTTAGTGCATAGCTTCATTGTCTCTTACAGATCTGTAGGTCATGACCGTAAAACAGCAACGTCAAGACTTGTTTACTTAGATTGGGAATGAAGATTGCAGCTATATCACTAAAAAGTTCATTAAAAGAAATAAGTCTAACAGGTGCTTTAACAGAACAACGACTAAAAATAAGGAATACTACTTGATCGTCTATGTAACCCATTAGAGATGATAGGAAGCTCTCTTATTCTGTAACAATTTACTTCCATGATATAATGATAAGCAATATGTGTTTCCAAATCTGTTCGTCACAATGTTCGTATAGCAACTACCCTCAGGTGTTCCAAGAAATCGATTTTTTTCTCCTGATAAGCTTCCTATTCCCGTTCGTAGAAAAAGCATAAAAACCCTTTCTTTCTTTGTTTTCGCCTGTTCTGGTAGTTGGTGCAGTGTTTATGGATACTGCGCGTGCTGTTGTCTCGGTGTTAGGCTACGCAACCTCCATCCCATTCAAGGCTTGCAGCAGTATTTTGGAGGACAAGACAGCTCCCATTAATAACCCTCCTAAGATATCGTCTACTCAAAACGACGAGGAAAATCTTTCATGGTTAGGCAATCAGAATGATGTCCCAGGTTTCATCAGTTATGGAGACCCCAAAATTAAGATTCCTAGCCCACTTCAACCTGGACAAAAGCGTACAGCTTCCATTTCTGTCGACTTCACTCCATCTGAGTCTTCAACTGTCTCCCATGCAGATGTTTGCAGTTCTCCGCCATATCGCTCATTTGTCCACCTTGCTTTCTCTCCTCTGGCTGATCGACTAGTCCGGAAGTTATCCTGGCCATTTATCTTCAGTGAGTATTTTATTCCACATGTACATCAATGCATCATCTGCTTGCTTCACAGTTGATGATCCGATTCCGATTAGTTGTTTTATGTTACCCTGGTAAACTGCGAATGCAACTCGTGATATCGCTTCAACAGTTCTCCTAGGTCAGTTTTTCTAAGCACGCACAACAATACCAAAGGACTTGATGATAAGGTGTTTTAGTCCATATTTCAATACTATCTACACACAGAATATAACGATGAAATGGAAATCAAAGTGAAGTTATTGAGAAACTACAGAGGACTAAATGTTAATAAGAAAATCCAAATAGGGAATTCAAAACAAAGTGATTCGATATTCAAGATTTAGCAAGATGAAGATGCAACTGCTCTACTTTAACTGATCCCTAGTCAAAATTTGAGTTTTCTCCTAACAGATTCGGAAACTTCATTTAATCAACACTGATAACATCAGTTGGTAAATTTGTAATACGTTACTAATGTGCAATACGTGTAAATGAATACGATTAACAACTTCGATCACAAGAAGTATCGACCGGTCACACTACACACCATACTTTTTAATTCTCACTATTATTTCCACAATATAGTGCTTCTCATGCGGATTAGATTATTCAGTTTTTCCACTCAATTTGGTGCTTTGTACTTGTTTATGAAAAGTGAATACCTCACTCTTTTAAAAATTTTAAATCTGTCGAAACATTGTCCATTTTGATCCTCAACAGTTCATCCAAGTTTGTTAATCACGACACTCAAAAAACTTTTATTCTTCAAAATTACTCCTGTTGTGAGGTTATTCATCTGATTTTAGTTGCCTATCATTCTTACAGATTGATAGCTTTCGTTCTTATGTTGGTTATTTTCAGTGCCATCCATTGCCCATTTTTGAGACGTTTTGATGTTCAGAACATTCCTTCGCCAACCAAATATTAGTTAACTCTTACGGTCAGCATACTCAAAGCTAACGAACTGTCTCCGGTTGATTATCAATACAGTCGTGTTTTAGGGTTTTTGTAACCTTATCGTTTTCCCAGCAACCAGTAATATTTAGTTATATGTTTGTATTCAGGTTTTCTCTAATATTTCCTTTATACAATAATACTCGTTAAATTTTAAAATTAATGCTTTGTCTCTTTTTGCATATAATTACGTCAACTTCCCATGTTTTATTTTAAAATCCTAATCTTGTACTTTTTTACTTTGATTAGGGTCACCCGACGTCTCTACAAAGCCACCGTGTAAAAATGACACAGAAGAGTCAAAAGATCATACTAAGCATAAACAGAATAAGGGTCCAACTGACTTATCGGAAGAAAGTGATCAAGTAAGTCTTATAATATTCCTTATCAATTGTGGTATAATCTTCACTCTATCAGATAAACAAAACGTTCATCTCTGTAGCTTGTGATGCAATTTTTGAATATATATCAAAACTAATCACACTAAATATCAAAAGTGCCTCAGTAATGCCTGTTACTAAATCACTGAATATCCAATTTTCTAATTTTTAATAAGCGGTCATATTTCAAACATTCTCCTACTAAACTGGTATCAAAAGTCATGTCACAATCTTATTTGCAACTGATTAGTACAGCAGTGTGCCAAATTTCGAATCATATCATAGGATTTCCGTAATTAACTCATGGACCTAAAACCAGGTCATATCTTACAATTAAAACTACAATCCTTGTCACAGATGGTTGTAATACGTGGATACATGTAGTTTGTCATGATTATTATTCACCACAAGGCAACCACGTCTACTCAAATCTTTTCATTCGCTTTGAAACTGAACGAAAATTGTGTTAAGCTATTGCTTAATGTCTTAAATTTAATCTATTTATTCTCTGAAGAAGTGGCTTACCACGGAGTCACGAAACGTCGGAAAATCTGATTTTTCTTCTACTCATTTGAGATATTACAAATATGATAACTTATTTATAATGCCTTCAGTGGTTTCAAATTTGTGTATTCAAGTTTATATCTATTTAAGAAATCAATGACCCATGTGTTGATCCCCGTGGTAGATGAGAGAAACTAAGATCACGTCTCAGGTTAGACAAATAAAGCTAGTCTCACACAACAGTCACCCATAGAATTATATATAGAGTTATACAAGATCTATCAGTCATCTTTGTTGTCTCCTGATCAAATCTATATTTTATCTTCTGAACTATCCATCTAACCGTCGGTATCTTTGTGTACTTTTAATTTACATACAATCGATTATTCGGCTACAGTTTATAAGAAAAATGCGTCCTTGCATCTGAGGTCGAAACGTTAAAATAGCTAAAAAACACTTTAACTAAATACCAGTTCCTTTTTAGAAAATCTAAATGATATGGACTTTAAACAGTAAAGTATTAACTGGGGACCAAATACAGTAATTGTCTTATGTTGTAAATCTATAATTTTATATACTCATTCAACTTACAACGTAGAGTTAATCATTTAACTATTGAGTAGTCAAAAAACTTGGATTTCTTTCTCTGCTCTTATTACTTACAACTTATTTTCAGATCGAGGTATTGCTCTATTTTGTGAAATCATTGATTTATTGATTTGTGTTGCATAGTGAATTTCGGAATTTTTGTTTGATCTGTGAAATATTTAACTGGATATTGTATGATATTGCCTTAAATATTCGATTTAAGCACATATTCTTTAACATTCTGATAGCTTTGAAGTGTCATCCCTTTAGCTTCCCATTATAATAATAGTAGTAATCATTATTATTTCCACTTCTTTGCTTTTATCCTCGACTTATTAATACGAAGTCTGGGATTTTAGTTTAATGCTGCACCTAGTTCAGACGTTTTTTATCTAACCATTAATCCATAGACGTCCAAAAACGTGCTAATTAAATAAAGTCAAGCGAATAAATAAATAAAAATTTTGAGCTCACAAAACTTTAGTGTGCTTCAGATTAGTCAAGCATTCTGTTCTATTTGGCGTATAATTTGTTGATTGAATGTTTCAACATACGGTTAGAAATCGTATTTAGAAAATGCTTCCACTTGATCCATAAGTATTGAAGGTGTAGGCTGTGGAGATTTTTAACGTTAGTGTTGACAAGGATAGTCCATTGTAAGAATTAACATGTTTCTGAATTATTGTGACTGGTCGCACTTGGTTTTTTTCATTTTTATAATTATCTTCAAATTGGTTTCCATTTAGTTTATACAAGAAGACAACGAAAGTGGAGTGGCTGTTCGTCGTCGAGTTAAAAAGCTTCCAGATCATTCTGGTGCTGCCGATGATAAGGCTGATATTCCACTGGCTCCTGTGACTGAACCACAGAAAACGTCAACTACTGGTGATCGTAGGTCCGTAATCATTCAACCAGATGGGCTTTTGGCAGCAGCTGCAGCATCAGTGATGTCTAGTACTTCTCATTCTCCTCCGGAGTCCTCAGCAAAAGATGATCAAGGTCAGGTCAAATCGAATTTCACGAACCCGAGGTCAAACGGAACTGAAGGAAATGAAAGGAAACTTAATTCGGAGTCCAAATCAAGTCTGACAGTAAACAGTACTGGTGAAGGTAGTTCCAAACGGTTAAGTTTGGTTACACCATCTAATAACAATGCGGTTTCTGGTCAAAGTGCTTCAAACAAACGTCGATCACTGCTTTTCGAAACTGTGATACATGAACCTGATGCCAGTAAAGAGGTGAATTTTCTTAGCAATCTTTCTTCCTCAAAGAAATTGGTTGTAACTGAAGATTTAGTATTTATAATACTGGAATATCCACATTTAAAGAGCAGATGTTTTGAAAAAAAATCTAAACAAAATAGATTGTTTTAGCACTTGAAATTTGATACAATAGGTTTGTTTAAAAAATTCATTACGACAGTCAAAATATACTAGGACCCAAAACAATTTTATTACATTAAAATCAACTGATCTAAGTTAGACAATCATCAGTTAGGTACTCACAACGTAGAACCTAGTACGTTTATGCATTGGTTCAAGTTGTTATGCTCCACTAGCAGAAAGGGATGGAACTGCCAGGCCAAATTCCAGGATGGTGAAGAAAGTAAAAGTATCAGTGGTAATACAGAAGATTAGAAATTGGAGACACTATTTGAAAAAAAAATTATAAATTAGCGAAATAAAGACAAAAATTTTACGAGGATTCCGAAACTTAGAATTGAGAGGAAAATGGATACACCTGTGCCATTTCAAATGAATCGAGCGATGTCATTCAAAGCCTCTTACCACTGGTTGCAATAATCACACTGACCCTAACCAGGTAATCCATACCTATTAAAATGGCTCAGTCTAAATGTCAATGATTTCATGAACTGATGCCACGTTTTGGTTTGACCACCCCTCGCTTTCTTCCAACTTACTCCTATACCAGAAAACATCGCCCGTCGAGGTATGGAGTGGTTGGAGATACGTGACACATGTCCCGACTACCTCAGTCGATAGAGATTTACTACCTCATCGATCGATTTCCCATCTTTACCTAATATACTATCCCTAACACAGACATTACTCAGTGGTCCGAAGACACCTATGATCGAATATTAGTAACCTACAATTGTCTTCTCTGTGTAATGGCCACGTTTCGCAGTCATAAAGCAGAACAGAGCGAACCGCTGCGCATCAAACTCGCCCTTTATTTGTAAAACATATCTCACCTATTCCACAAATGACGCAAGTTGCCAAAAGCCAATCGAACCTTTTCAATCCCTGGCGAGATTTAGTCAGACACCCAACCACCAGTACTGATACGTTCAACTACTTCAGTCCCTATCATTAATTCAGGCGATGACGCAAGCCAATCCTAATGTAAGATTTTACATTTGGAGGGGGAGAACCACATATCAAACGTACTTGCGTTGTTATTCAAGTTGATCAAACCGCATCTTGTCATCGTCTTCAAGTAGAACTAGATCATCTGCGCATTCGAAGTCAACAAGTGAATCTCTTGGTAGATGAATCTTTGAAAAGTTAGTCTATAGAGTGTTATACCTAATAGCATATCTGTGATGTTAAATAGAAATGGGGAAAGCGAACAACCCCAACGAACACCAATTTAAGTAACTAATTCCGATAACATTTCTCCATAAGCTCTGAATCGACCAGTAGTGTTCGAGTAGAGTGAGCCTGTCCAAGGTTTATGTACTTATTTGGTACACCGTTGAATGACAAACACTGCTACAGAACCTGACGATCAACAGAGTCAATCACCACCTTAAGTTCAAGGAATACAACTACTGTTGAATGTCGGAAAGTATATCTATGTTCCAGAACCTAGCAAAGAGTAAGTATTTGGTCTGCATCCGCGTTCAGGTCTGAAACCAGCCTGGTTTTCTCTTCATGAGCTCTAGTTGGATGTCGAAGTATTATTGAGGCTAAGAGTTTTAAACACTGTATTATTAGTATGTGGTTATGGAGATTGCGCTGAAGGCGTTTCAATATAATAGTTCACAACTTTCAATTATCTGATAGTTGTCAGCTTGGGTTATGGTTGTTGTTACTCTTGCTCAGGTGAAATGCCGACTCGTTCTTTTAGAGTCATTTATTCGACTTTATTCATTGTACTGTGCTTTGTTTATTCCGCAGCCGTGTGATATTGAAGTGAAAATCGCCGATTTGGGTAATGCATGCTGGACTTACCGTCATTTTACTGAGGATATTCAAACTAGACAGTATCGAGCCTTGGAGGTTCTTATTGGCTCCGAATATGGACCACCCGCTGATATTTGGAGTACGGCTTGTATGGTATGTGTTTTTTATGTTTCGTCTAAATAAAGATTTATATCAGTTCTTTTTAATAACTCACTATACAAGTTACATAGCACTTCAGACGTACTCGTTTCTGCTCATTACCGGTACATTGAATCTGTACAAAAGTACACGATACACTTGTGGCAATATGACGAACTTGGGTGTAACTTTTGTAATTAAATTCAAATTTTACCAAACAACCAGTTTTCAATTTATTCAAATACTCTAAATCATCACTATACCCACAACACAATTACATTTACTTGGTTATCATCAAACTGAAATATTATGTAAACTTGTGGGAAGAAGATTTGCAGTATCACTTGAGAGAATGATATTTTTACACATATTCCAATGTATAGACAGAACGTAATCCAAAACAAATACATTTCTGATTCAAGATAAAAATTATTTTTCTTATATTTATTGTTCTAAAGATGATGTACCATTTCAAGGCGAAACATAACGTCACGTGGCTGTCCATCGTGACTGGATTAAATCATAGATTACAACAATATTCTGGCAACAGGAATGGTCAGCTGATATATATATATATATATATATATATATATATATATAACGGCTTACCGAAACCCATTATTAGGTCAGGGATTCAAGTCTATTTTAGAGTATCAGCAGGTTTTTAAGGCATCACAGATATAAATAATTGAAGGGGCCGTCACAGGTTCTCCCAATTCTATTCAGTTCAGGTTATCCATATGATTCAAGTGAACCGTCAACTACATCATCGACTAATAACATTAAGTCACATTCCTGCCGTAAGGTCACAATGTAAAGTGACCGCCATACTTAATTCAATGATTACATGCTCAGTATATGCGAATTATCTCGTAATACATCTAATTTCTATTGCATATATCTCACAAATTGCTAGGACTGTAAAGTTTTGCATTTTTTAAATTTATCCCCTAAAATCAATAATTACGATCAGCGTGGTATCAGCGACCATAAGCAAACATTATTTAAGCCTTTCAAATTCTCGCTATCGAATCTAATCCATCCTTTTTTCATCAAATAATCAACTTAATGTATTCTATCCGTGTTCTACTAATCACACTAACAATTCAATATAGTTTATATCCTTGATTGATTCGCGTCAACCATCTTGTGAAAATTTTGCTGTAAGTCAAATATCCATCAAAGCAGAAAGAAGATCCTTAGATATTCCAGAAAGCCTTTGCCATTACAAGAGTTGATTATGTGTGCATCCAGTTTGCACCGAAAACTCTCAATCCGTAAATATTGCAATCAAATATATATATATATATATATATATATATATATATATATATATATATATATATATATATATATCAATACATGCCACAGATAGTAAATATCTCGTATCTGATGTTAACACTGATTTCAATTTTGTTCTCTGTCAACGTACGTACAAAGATCTACGTTGTTACTGACTGACTGACTTTGTCACCCAGTTTAATTACAGTTGACTTCTCAATAGACTATATTGATATATAATACTTCAATTACCTTTTTCTATTATAGGCTTTTGAATTGGCTACCGGTGATTATCTTTTCGAACCTCATTCTGGCGAAGATTATACACGAGATGAGGACCATCTAGCACATATCATTGAATTATTAGGCCCCATACCTAGAAATATTGCTCTTTCAGGAAAATACTCCCGTGAGTATTTCGATAAACGAGGTACGTTAATGAATTCTCTTTGCCAAACTTAAAAATAGTTTAGTATCAATATGTATTTATTTTAACTGCTCACTTTAGATTCAACCTGTTCTTAACAAAAATGAAAAAGTTCACATAATTGTTATTTAGTCATTACCGTTTCAGTTATCAAGTCACAATACCTACTTCTGTTTGAACAACCACATAGTATTACTAACCTCCACAGACAAACAGTGGGATTAAAAACCGAGTACATTATTCTTTGTTTGGTCGATAAGTTACATTAATCAGTACTTTTAAGTAAACCATGAGGTTATTATCTAATTGCACAAAAGAATAAAGGTTTGTTTAGTTTTATTTTGTGTTCTTGTCAAAGGTTAACATAAAAATTGAAATCACAATATGAACTTTCCTTTGATTCCAATCATCAGCTTGTTTACGTCATATACATCGCTTGAAACCTTGGAATTTATTTAATGTCCTCACTGAGAAATATGATTGGCCACCAAGCGAAGCGGCTCTTTTCACCAGTTTTCTGGAACCAATGCTCGCGTATGATCCTAATAAAAGAGCGTCCGCGTGGGATTGTTTACAACATTCCTGGATAACTGGTCAACCGTATTCTTCATCAGTTGAGGAAGGCCTACCAAATCATATCCCGTTTGGAGTGAATATACCAGATCCATTGATGGGTGACGTTTTATCTAATCCTAGTACATATTACCATCCACATGTCAATCAACCAAATATTGTAGATCCCGCAAACACCGCTGGCTTGTGTTACAGTCAACACCCACACTTAAAAAAGCAATACCCGACAGTTCATTGCGTTGCTCCACAATCTAGAAACAGTCGTTCTGTCAACTACATACCACCTGAACTATCTTTCAGTGGAAATGTCAACCCATCTGAATATCACTTATCTTATGGTTCCGAAATGGTTGTGGGTGGGGAAAGTGTGCCGAATCGTAGTATGTGTGTACCAGATTCTCACTTTCAACCGTGGTCCTCAAAACTCATGGGCTCAAAACGACTAGATGTTGTCAACAATGTGGACGGCACAATAAATTTAGATGTAAGTTTCCCCCCCCCTGATGTATTTCTAGTTTATACTTAACGTTGAACAGGATTCAACCATTTTGATTGAATGCCGATTTATTTCGTTCGCCTAATCTGTAATCCTAAACCTTGATATTATCCACATGGAGGTTCTATTGACTACAATGATCATTTTATCCAAGTTAATAGAATAAAATTACATATTTACCGATTCTCACAGCTTATGACGCAAATTAAATAAATGCCTAGTATAATGGGCTGTTGAAAGTGATTTATGAAAGTAGGAGATATACATGTATAATCATAAGAGGCTTCGAAACATTGCTCAATTATAATAGAACCACTACGTAAATAATCCTGAGGTGAAATGTAAGGGTATCTTGTAAAAACGTACCAGTTGATAAAGTTGTTCATCCTCATCTCAGGCACCTGGTACCTGTGTTACATGTTTAGCCATCTACTATGACGCGTATTAATGGCTATCGTAGGCACTGGTTTGATGAAGATTCGAGAAACTAAGCCAAAATGTAGAACCAGTTTTGGAGTTACATTGAGACATGAGGATAGGTTCATAATTCTCAGGTAAGGCCCCACCGAAACCGGGATCAAGATTCGTAGCTAGATTCGTTGTTTATGTCCCAAATCTGTTATTCCACACGTTCCATACCCTTTATAATTTCATTCGTTCCCATATTTTTGTGTTTAATATTTTACAATCATGGATATTACCATTATCTTGACACCGCTCCTAATCTCGTTAACCCCCTCTCTCCTCGCTGTTATGAAATGTGGTCACTTACACTAATGGATGCCAATTCCAGGACATATTCTGTTGATTACTGGACTGTTTGTTCTACACATGTATTCCTTGCTTAAAAGCTTATATCTACAGAAGTTGAAGAAATCATATTGTAAAATATTGTTAATGAGACAGTTCGGGACTGATAAACAACTCTTAGTAAGTTGTTTTAGTATTATTTATTGAAACGTTTGAATAATTCATTACCCTCAGTAAGACAGTCAAAATAGATTTAGAGAAGCCACACTGAATGATTTTTTGATTCAGTGTTTTAATGTCGATCTTAAAAGTATAACATTCATACTGTTTTCTTTAAATTTTACACAGTTAAGATAATGTTCTAACTGTAATCGTTGTATATTTTTCAGACACGTTCAGATATACTAAGAAAAGGAATATGATAATCGGTTGCTACCATTTTTATATATATAAATATTTCGTCCCATTGATCGAATACTTTTGTTTCACTGTACTTGAAAAAACTTAGTATTTACCTAAATCCATGTTTACACCTATTAATTTCAATGACTTCATTGAATCGAAAGTATCTAGAAAGTTCAGATATACTCATATACTTCCTACAAGAAATCACCATTTATTTGATTGTTCAGATCTTTGTTTGACAGCAAACCAGTCATTCCATGCGTTTATTTCCATGAATATATTATTCTTTTGTCTAAATCCATGTCACTAGGTGTGTCCGTTTTTTCCCTTTCTTTTACAAGCCTATTCATGTTGGAAATTTCATACACAGTCTACCAGATCTCAGTCCTGCTCCTAGCGATGACGATTATGACGAAGAAGATGACGATGACGACGACGAGGATGATGATGAGACCAAAGAAGGTGAAGATGAGGATGAAAGCGGAGATGATGAGGATCCTCGGATGCATTCGTTACACCATCATCATCGTCAGCACCATCATCATTCGCACTATTATGGACATCCATCTAATACATCATCTGTTTATCAATTTTTGGATCCCCCTCATATAATGCCAGTAGAATCTTCTGATCATTCTCATTATGCTGACCCTTTAGCTATGGCAGTAGCTGCTGGACTACCACCTAGTAAAGCTGCTATACTAGCTTATGCAGCACAAGCTCTTGGACCAGATACTGTTTGGGCTGGTTTAGCTGCAGCAAAAAAACGTCAACAACAACAGCAAGCGCAACCAATGAATAATACAGACGAGACAACTTCCGATTCACTTACTAATAATGATCATGTAATATTAACTACCTCAACTATAAAAACTGATGATGATGGTACACCATGTAACACTGATTCGTTACAAGAACAAAAGAAAGAAATAGATAATGAATTACATAACAGTGAACTTGATGTAGAAGATGTATCTAATTATTTCTCAACTTCACTTGAAGTACGTTCTGCTACAAGTTCTACAACCGAAGATATATCTAATACCCCCGACTATGTGAATAATATATCAGATATAAGGAATTTTGATTCTGAATTACAACGTACAGTGAGTGAAAATATCACTCATCAATATACTGAACCGACAGAAACACTTACAGAAGCTTAGTTTTCAAATTCCAATTTATCTGATCTCTATCTCCTGTTTTGTGAGAACCACCTATAGGCTTTCATTTTATTACTCTTATCTTAAAGCATATTCACTACTATCTCATAAAACAAAACAATGACGTTTGTAATTTGGATGTTCTTGTTAGAAAAAGATTTTCATCTTATTTAATGATGTCTATTATTATTATTATCATCATCATATTGATATCAATAAATTGAAAGCTTGAACGCATTCACTGAGTAGTAATGGTGGTGTATCTGCCAATTGTCTTCTTTTTTGTTTTTAGTTTACATTCATTATTTCCCTCGACACGTGGTTGCTTTTTATACATCATATAAAACAAACAGCCTCGTAAACTTTCTCTTATATATATATATATATATATATATATATATATATATATATATATATGCATACAAAGATGTTTCAATGTACTTTTCGCTTTTATCTAATCCAACATATCTACCCTCTCTCATAATTTATTTGAAATATGTTGCACCAAGATCAGATATAAAACCTGATATATATATATATATTGGTTTTGCTAACTACTGTACTATTCTTGTCAATAATTTTGTCATTTCTCTTCATTTTTCCCTTCAACCTGGACCTCTAATTGTTTTAGCATCACGAAATTTCCAGTATTTGTAGACATTTCTATCGACATAACCTAGGCCTTATCTGTGCCGATATATATATAATTCTCATTTAGGTTAATCATTTTGATCCTAAACAAGAAAATACCCTTTGCATATTTCATCGTTACAAAGCACCACCCCACCCTTTTAACAGTCCAATTGTACGTTTTAGTTGCTCAAATTCTTTCTAGCAACTTCATGCGGACTGTATTGTAAACTATACTCTTGTCATTAGTTTTTTGTGTGCTTCCATTTTCACAAAAATCGTTTTTTGTTTGCGCGCGTTTGTAAATCTATGAACATATAACCACTGCTGCGCATGCCGTCCCGTCTATTGTGTTATCAAGCGAGAGAGAGGCAGTCAGTTCTGTTTTGGAAACTTTTAAGATTTAACAACTATTTGCTAAAAAAGATTATTACTATTATCATCACTATCAATACTATCACTAACCGACAGCTGATATCATTTCTTTTTTTTCATTATTCCTATTTCTGCAAAACCGCTGAACTATTCATTTTTCAACATTAGAAGACTTACTCAAATAGTCATGTTATGCATTTTGAAATTATGTGATTTGTTGAACATTACACTAAAACTAATGTCATAAATAGAAAATATGTGATCTAATGCCAATTTATGCGACTCGTGTTTATACTTTGTTCTTGTTGTAAGTAAATATTCATATGAATGCGAAAATGCCTTAACTCCACTGCTATTTCATTTCTTTATTAATCCATACAATAAACAACCAATGATAGTAGTGGAACTTATTATAAACTATTTGAAAATAATTGGTCAGTTTTTGTTCCTAATTTTCATATATATATATATATATATATATATATATATATATATATATATATATATACTAACTTATGCACATACACGAGTACTCATGTTCCACCATTTGTCCCGTGTTTAAAATCGTGTTATATTGCCGGAAAAATTGATGATAAATATGACTTCGAAACTTTGTTAAGTTAGGTGTAATTGTTTTTTTCTTGTGTGCGTGTATCTGTGTACCTACATTATCGACTATCGTTAAACAGATGTTCAGAGGAATTCGGTTGTACAATTTACTTGGTCATAAGATTTCATCATAATTGATAACAACTCTGTTGCCATTCAAGACTTCGTGATTTGTTTTGTTTTCTCTGTTGATTTTGTGTGTGTTTGCTCTATCTTAACTAGTCAATTGTTACCCTAATAACTATACTCCAATCAAATTGGTTCGATGATTAAAATACGTCATTTCCAACTGTGCAAGAAATAGATACGTAAATCTGTCTTCTTTTTATGAATCTGGTTTTATGGGAATACTTATTTTTTTTTATTGGATAATGGATACATGTTCAAGTTCAAACCTGGTTATAGTTATCAGAAAAAAATAGATTTATATTGTGAATGCTTTTAAAGTGGTAACGGATGTTTAGTTCTATACTACGTTTATTCTGCTGTCTTTGGACGGAATATATATAATCTATAATTATAACATGATCAATAAAGCCATCACATCGCGCTTGATCAGAAATAAAATTAATTCAGCTAAATCGCCGAGTACGCGCTTGTAACCTGGACGTAAAACAGCTTTTACTGTAAAGGCAAATAATGTTACTTATATAGTTTCCCCTGACATTCCAGGTAAAGGAGTGTCAGCCCCCCAACAACATACTCTACCGGACCCTGTTCTAGACAATCCTTTCCAGCTGCTATTTGTCCTGATGTCTTCTTCCCCTTCCGGAGGCCGTGTGTCGTTCGGTCTTCCTCTTTTCCGTTTCACTTCAACATCCACTATCTCCGTTTTTGTTCAACTTCTTCATAGACCTACTGCTGGTAATAACATTCTCGTCGACTGAACTCTCGGCCATTGATCTCCTTCCAGGAGGTCCACTTATGAACTAGAATACGCAGATGACATAGTCTTGTTAGGTGAAGACCCTGATAACATTCAGTCTTTTGATAGCACTGATCAACAATGCCAGGATGATTGGAATACTTTTCTTCCCATCTAAATGCAAGTTGTTGTCTCAGTACTGGCCTGCGTCAACACCTGAATTACGGATAGGGAGTGAAGTAGTCGAACGTGTCGACAACGTCACTTATCTTGGAAGTCTGATCAGCCCTAAGGGGTTGGTTTCTGGCGAAATTTCTACACGAATTCAAAAAGCTCGTTTGACTTTTGCCGACTTGTATCACCTATGGCGAAGGCGAGATATCCACCTATCAATGGAGGGACGAGTATATTGAGCAGTAGTTCATTCTTTTACTTTATGGCTGCGAAGCGTGGCCATTAATAGTAGACGATACTCGTAAGTTACTAGTTTTTGATCGCAAATGTCTTAGAAATATTGCTCGCACAAAGTCACTAACGTCAAGTCTTAGCCATGTTGGTAGATGCAAACTACTTGGTCGGGATCTGCGTGACTGCTTTAACCTATGGTTGGAGACTTGGTGATATGGCTCAGAATCGATTACAGTGACGTCTGTGCCTACACTCTTTGTCTTCTCCTAGACCGTGAATTTAAAATTGCTTTATATTTCTTTATACGAGCTAATTTTTTCTCCCTGTACTATATCCATGTACACAATCTTTCTTTTATATATTACTGCCATTGAAGTAAGTACTTCCATAAATTTGGTGTTCATCTTGTTGTGCTAATGAAATTTGGAAACGTGGACCGATGCATATATCTGCCTGGTCCTATGTTGTAACTGACTTGTGAGTTAATGCTTGTTTTGAGATGCTGTTTGGTGATTCCCACAATGTATATCCTAACGCCTCCACTGTCTTTTAATTTCCTCTTCATCTAGAAGCTGGTTTGTTCTCTCCCACAGTAGGTTGTTGCTGATGGTATCCAGCCAACGGTTATTTCGCATTCTGTGTAAAGAATTGTTTAAAAATTCTTGTACCTTCTTGATGGTTGTGCTAGTTTTCATAGTTTAGCTCCGTACAGTCGAACTATCTTGACTTTAGTATTGAAGATTCTCATTTTGATGTTGGCCTGCAAACAGTTGTTATGGGTTTTATAATGTCTTCAACTGTAGGAATGTTGTTCTTGGTTTACTGATTCTCGCCTTCGGTTCTGTATCGTGTAGTTGCATACAAGCTGTGCACTGTATTCATTGCTTCCCCCGCATGAGGTTTTTTCAACTCATTCAACTACTAAAAGAAAGAAATGTCGAGAGTAAGCAGCCCTGTCTGATACCCATCCTCAATTAGAATGCATATCAGTTGTCCTTCGTGCACGACTACGGAGTGGTCTGTTTTGTATGCTACTTATATTGACAGACATAAGTAGTATGTAAACAGTTCGAATTGGAAAACGTAGGAGCAGAAGGCTAAGAAGATACGGATGGGATTGTGAACTTAAAGAATCATACAAAATGTGAAGAATGAATAACGGAAATTTGCGAATGAAGTATTCACTTTATGGTTCGTATATACTCTGTAATTTTGTAATAAAACGCAATTGCTTATCCCTACCTCTGTTGTCGTTCACAACAGTCCGTCCTATGAATATTGTATGACGTTCATAATCCTCTATAAATTTTCCTATCCATAACGCCAAACGCCTTACCATAGTCAAGAAAGTTTGACGAATTCCATTCACGTGATTGTTCAACGATGATCCGTAATGTCGCCTTTTGAACTGTGTACAACCGATCCTTACGGAATCCTGCCTGTTACTCTCGAAACTGAGCATCTACCGAATCTTCCATCCGGTTCAGCAACGCTGTTGAAAACGTTTGCTCAGATCGTGTTTCTTTGGTATCCGGGTGAGGTGTGTTTCCAGTCCGTCGGCACGTGTTCCACCTCCCAAATCTTCATGAGAAAAACATGGAGCATGTTTGCATTTATTGTTATGTTTGACTCTAGTGCTTCCGTCGGTATATTGTCAGGTGTCTGCTTTCCCGCCCTTGATTTATCTGGTGTTCATCCTGATTTATTCGATTGTTGGTGCGGTGATATCTATAGGAAGGTCTGTGTGTGCAGCTTCGATGTGCGGTGGGTTTAGTGTAGTTGGTCTATTCAGGAGTTCCTCAAAGTGTTCCACCCATCTGTTCTTCTGTTTATGAATCTCGATGATTGGCCTGCCTTCTTTGTCGTTGACTGTTCTCTCTGGTTTACTATATTTCCTTACCAGTTTCTTCGTTGTGTCACATAGCTGTTTGATATTTGCTTCTGTTGCACCTTTCTCCATTGTCGTTGCTAGATCTTTCACGCATTTCTGTTTGTCGGCTATAATGATCTTCATTTGTTTGTTTGCTTCAGTGTATTCAGTTTATGCCTTGACTTTCTGTGGTGTTTGAAAGAACTAATAATACCTTTGTACTTGTTGAATGCTCGATTTCGAATTCCGAATACAATACATTCGTTTGTGCTTGTGTCTCACTTCTTAATTAAATTGCGTTAATTCTGGGATTCCTAGTTCATAATACAATTCAAATTATTCAAAATATTATACTTTCTCTGTTCGTGTTCGGCTGTTGTAAATTGTTGTCTTCTTATTCTTCCTTTCTTGAATCTTGTTCAGGGTTTTGATAGAGATCCATTCCTTATGATGATGCTTCTCGCTGCCCAGAACCTCCTGACA